CCTCAACCCTACTTTTTGAGTAGTAAGAATATATAGCACCTCAAAGCTGTGCAATTGGGTTGCTGAAACCGGGGAAATCAAATAAAGGGAACATTCAAAGAYTGTTCCATTCTGTGTACCTATATTTGGGTTCTAAATACATTCAGTTAAGAAAACTTTTATTTTTTTTAAATTAAAAAAAAAATCCATTCTTGAAGAACCTAAAAATGCCAAAAGACAACATGAAAAAATCCTACCTTATCCTTCCATGTTGAGATAACGTCATCATATGCCAGGCAGAGGGAACATCTTGTGTGTGTTATAACATCCCAATGCTGTTTATTTTACCTTCTTTCTTTATTCAAAAAAATACAACGCACATATTTTCTATCAGTAAATGTTCATGCAACGTCAATTTTAAGTGGCTGATGAGTATCGCCTTTCAGGGATATGCCATAAATTATTAATCATTCAAATCACTACCTTTCAAGACTCCAAAAAAAGCAAATTTAGTTAATCTTTTCTTCTTCTTCTTCTTYTTTTTTTTAAACAGCTGATGTCTCGAAAACACCATGCCCTTGTCCCTTGTCTCTTTTGCAAGGGAGTGTGAGTCACAGTGCTCCATGGTGTTAGTATGCAATTTGTGCTGGATGTGGATTTATTGTGACTCCATCTCCCCACCTCATGTTTCTCTTTATGGCAGTGACCTCTTGTTTTGCACAGGAGACTCCGTCCTGTGGTTATGAAAACAAGCACTGCTCAGGACTGTTTCCTGAGTGCGTTGCTCACATGTGCTCATTCTCTCTTCCTGTCTCCAAGAAACACCAGGGTAAACAGAGTTCTCTGAACACCTACTGATTGACAATGCGGTGTATTTTTATTTAAAATGACTGTTCACTTGCTACTTTGAAACGCGTAACCTTGACCTTTGTATTCCAGAATGTTTTAGCATTCTCTTAAATGGCAGGCAATTTGAAAGAAATGACCTTGTCCTTGAAGTTGCTTCTGAATAAGTGTAGGGTAATACAATGCAAGTAGTAATGTACCTTTGTATATTGAAACGCACTGGAGCACGGGGATTTAGCAGTATGTGGGCTTCTGGTGCTGCTCCTGTCTCTTCTGGTCTGAACCTGCCAATGGGAGATGTTTCAAAGGGAATGTTATAGAGCTCCAAGAACTGTTTTTGGACTTTCTTATTATTTTAGGTGTCAAAATAAGTCTTGCATCTTGATCAAATTTTTGGTTGTTGCATTATGAAAATGATCATTAGAATCCTAGTTAGATTGAGCAGAGAAGTGCACCTTGGTCATTCTCGTCTGGGTGTCCCCTGAAAATAGGAGCCTGACAGCGTTCGGGATTTGAAGATGCCATCCACTGTCCTGAGGAACCACTCTAGGCCGACTTGGTCCCAGTAGATAGAAGGGCTACAGCAAGGTAAACAGAGTTCTCTGAACACCTACTGATTGACAATGTGGTATATTTTTGTCCAGGCTTCTGAAAGTGACCATAGCCAGAGAGACCTGAAAAGCTATCTGGACCTCATCAGGCTGTTTTTCCACACTTGGCCATCCCTTGAATTTTGATGGTCCCTATTGTTTAGTTTAGCCAAGAGGTAGGTACCAATGCCCAGAGTAAGTGTTTAGAAATTTCTGCATCAATTTGACATTGCAGCCACATCCAGGTGTGTGATCAGTGGATTTGTTTGAACAGAGTAGAGATGCATTTGGATTTTGTGGCACTGGTGTGCGAGAAAGTCCATACCTGGTCCCATCTGTGACCGAGTCATGTGCAGTGGGACCACGCAGTAAATGAAAAACACAGCAAAGCAGGTTTGTCATGCAGCGCAATCGTTTGGGAAGCACTACTCCAGACCAACAAGAAATAGTTGGGGGTGCCAGGGAAATAGCTCAATTGTTTTGTTTGCCTCTCATGCACAAGGCCCTGGATTMAATCCCCAGCACCACCACACACACACACACAAAATCAGTTTCACTTCAGACCTTTTTCACTGTGTGGCCTCCCTCCCTTTGTCCCCTTTCCCACTTGTCAGCTTGATGTTGCTCCTTTCATTGACATTATTTTTCTGCATGCATTTTACATGACCCTATACACATTTTTATACGATTATGCACACTTAAGTTCATCACTTAAAATAACATTATCATATTCTATTGTGTTTTAACACCATAGTATCTTAGCCCCTCTATCTGGGACCCTTGTTACCTTTTCTTTTTAAGAAATAGTGCAGCTGTGAATATATTTGTACAAATTAGCATCCCCCCCCCTTTTTTTGTTCCTGACATCTGTACCCAAAGAGATATCCTGCATCAGAGGGTCAGTTTTCTTGYTCTCTAGAAGAATCTGAACTGATTTATATTGTGGGAGTACATTTTTAGGTCTTCTCTGTGATTTTAGGCTGTGCAATTTTAATTTTTGCTGGTTTARTAGGCTTATATATGTGCCTACATATATATGTGCCCTGTGATGATTTGATTTTTATATTTTTATATTTTGGCACATTTTAAAATCAAATGTGTGAAAATCTCTTATCAAGGTGAACTTGAATGTTGATGTCTTGTAATTTTATCAGGTCTTACATGGTTTGGATATGAGCTTCTGGTCATGATAGATTACATCTTTCCCCTTTCTGTTATTGTTTTCTGTTTGTTCCATGACATTTTTAGTGTAAAACTCTTTTATTAGTGTTTACATTTTAATACTGAGTTATGTCATCTCTGATGATATCCTTTATTCTTGGCCAGAAATTATTTTCWACTTTAGAAGTAGAATAAAAAGAGTATTCTGTTATTTTCTAGGCTGTTTTTAATTTTTTTTTTTTTTTTTTAACTTTAGAAGTGTTGGGGCTGGAGTCTAGGGCCTTGTGCACACTGAGCATGTGCTTTACTACTGAGCCATACTGGCCCCCTTCTGTCAACTTTTATTAGTGATATTTCTCCCTTTTGTTTCTTACGGTTTGACATATATTAAGCAATTATCACAAAATGTATCTATTTCTGGACTTTATATTTTATGGTATCATTTATTTTAAAAATCAACTTAATATGTATTTCATTTATAATGTTTTATGTTTATTTTATCGTTTTGTGGTACTGGTGATTGATCCCAGGGTCTTGTGCTTGCTGAACACTTGTTCTATCATTGTGCTATACCCTCAGCTATGATGCAGTGTATTTTTTGGTAAGGTTCATGACTATGACAGAGAACATGTTTATTTTTAAAAAAACTTTTGAAAACACCTAATCAAATGTAATATGTTGTCTTTTGTTAAATGACTTTCTAATTTTATCTAAATGATCTCATTTTAAGAGGAAAATCTAGAAGCACATKCTATATAATAGTTTATGGGTTTTATTGCATACTATTTTGCAGACAAGTTTTAAAAATCCATTTGCAAGTGTTTGTTACTAGTATATAAAATAGCATTTACTGTTATCAGTTAACTCATATCCTATGATCTTGCTAAATTCACTTATTTCTTYATAATCTTTATATATTTTATCTCTGTCTWTACTCTTGTTTGCCTTTTTTCAATCTACATGCTACAGTAACAGGCACATAGTTGAGCTAATGCTGTTACAATGTTCTTGTTGTGACAGGACTCATCCATAGCCTGGTTTATAAACCACAGATACAGTGGTGGAGATTTTCATTATTAGAAACTTTAAAAAAAATAATCCTGAGTTATTGGAACTGTAAAGATTACTTTTTATATATTTGCAATGAGCATTAACATCTGTTTTGATATTATCATTTGTATTCTACTGAAATGCAGTATAAGGAATTTTGATAGGTTGTTTGACAGGTGTTTCAGAAGTCCATTTTTTGTTATCGGAGGGGTGAGATTAACAGAAGCTTAATGAAATCCACTTCCTTGGAGGAAARGTGTCTGCTTTCATAGCTTGTGTTTATAGAGAAGAATGCTAAGCAAAGTGAAAAGAAAAAAAAAAGAGAGAGAGAGATGAAATTGAGATTGAGAATTAAGTATCAAAATGTGAACAGTATCTTTGCTCGTTTTAGTATTGTGTCTTTAATTCAATAAAGTTATGTGCTTTGAAATGAGAGAAAAACATAAATAGATTCAAATCTAACCCTGACAATTCCAAGCTGTGTGAACTTGGGAAAGTGATTTATCCAGAGCGTGTTTTGTTTGTTTGTTTGTTTTTAAACTATAAAGATGAAAATACTTATAAGCAGCTTGCAGTGGTTAGTATTAGAAATAATATACCAAATGAAGCTGGCACATATTGTGCACCTAGTAAACCTAGCTAGGATTATTATAGGACTCTACCCTTTATTATTTACTTTTCAAGTTATTTATTTATTAAATTGTTGCAATTTTATTCATATTTATTTATTCATGTGTACACAAATGAAGGAAGCAATATCTTTGAAGAACCCTGTCCTTCTAAAAATATCTAACACTTTGTGTTCCTGGACACTTGCACTGATGAATGTGGAGGAAAGTGATTCAAATATGACAGTGACTGGGGCTGGGGATGTGGCTCAAGCGGTAGCGCGCTCRCCTGGCATGCGTGCAGCCCGGGTTCGATCCTCAGCACCACATACAAACAAAGATGTTGTGTCCGCCAAAAACTAAAAAATAAATATTAAAAAATTCTGTCTCTCTTCTCTCTCTTAAAAAAAATACTTTAAAATATGACATTGACAATGATGTCAGACCCTTTGCCAAATTTCTTTCCCTTTCTCTCCTTACCCCCTTTTGAAGAGTCAGACAAGCCTGTTATTTTCCAGGGTCTCTGAGGCTCTCACCTGACTGTGAAGGTTGTCTGCATTTGCTAAATGGAGGGCTCAGCTGTCCAGGAACACCCGCCACTCAGGGCTGGACTATGAGTCATTGGGGGTCACTGCAGATCACTGCAAGAGCCAAGGGGACGTTCAGCAGGCTTTGTCTCCAAGATTTATCTCTCTTTCCCTTCCCTTTTTCTGACTTCTTGGCCAGGCATCCTTGGCTAATGTTATATCCTGTCTCTTTCTTCTAGAACTCTGAAGGTGGACTCTATGTATGCATGAATACATTCTTGGCCTTTGGAAGGGAACACGTTGAAAGACATTTTCGAAAAACTGGACAGAGTGTGTACATGCACCTGAAAAGACATGTGCGAGAGGTGAGATGAACATTTTTGGAGAACTTGATTTGATATCTTCCCTGCAGCGTTGTCTGAGCATGTTTTATCATACAGAGAGTTTACTTTTCCTGCATAAATTCTGATTCTCCTGGATGATGGAATTAAAAACTGTACTGTTTGTAGAAATGCATGGATTGCCCCCAAACCTAATCTTAACCAGTTTTCTTTTCTTCCTCTAGACCTCTGATTGGAGTTGTCCTAACATGAGTTAAGACAAGGATTGACTGGGTAGAAAAATCAATTTAAGTTTAACTGGATACGGTGACACATTGCCTCTAATCCCAGTGACTTCGAGTTTGAGACCACTGGCCTTAGCAACTTAGCAACGAGGCTGTAAGCAACTTAGTGAGGCCCTGCCTCAAAATAAAAAATAAAAAGCGTTGGGGATGTGGCTCAGTGGTAATGTGCCCTTGGGTTAAATCCTCAGTGCTAAAAATATATAAATAAAAATAAATTTTAAAATGTAGAAAAATATAGAAAATAATGCCGGAGATACTCATCATAGACCCCAAAGTCAGAACTGAAAACATTAAGTGCTTTTGCTTCAGAATAGTTTTTTCCTCCTTTTTTTAAAAAAATTATTTTTTATTGATGGATTATAACTATTCCATAATAGTGGGATCATTATACTTTTTTTTTCCTTTTTTTAAAAAAATTGATAGGAATGTAGCTTTCCTTCCCTCCTAGGTGAAAGAATCACACCATTACTGTGAATCACTTTTTCTCATTCTCATACATGTCATTATATTTATTTAAATATGTGTATTCACGAACAATGCATGGTATAACTTCATGTATTTAAAGATGTAGATACATGCGATCACACTTCTACTTATATTTCTGTGTAGTTTTCCCTCTCAATGTTGTTTTGGAATCTATCCATGTTGAATTGCATCTGGATATACTTAGTTATTTTAGTAGTTATTTGGTATTCCATCTTATGAGTACCTTGTAATTTATACTAGTCTCATTGATAAAGTTAAATAGTTTCTTTCTTTCTTTCATTTTTATTTCCTATTATAAACAATGCAACAATATGTACACTTCTCCTGGAAGTACACATGCAAGATTTCTTTAGGAAATATATCTTAGAAATGGTATTGCTGGCTTATGAGTGCATTTATCTTTATTTTTATTAGATGCAGATAAATGCCTCCCTAGAGTGATTACACCAACTTGTTCCCCTGTCTGCAGTGATTTTGAATTACTGTTTTCCCATACACTCACCAGCCCTTAGCCAGWCTTTTTTTTATCATTATTTTAAAAATATTTATTTAGTTGTAGGTGGACACAACACCTCTATTTCATTTCCATGTGATGCTGAGGATTGAACCCAGTTCTCCACGCGTGCTAGGCAAGCGCCCCACCCTTGAGCAACAACCCCAGCCCTTAGCCAGACTTTTTTTTATCATTATTTTAAAAATATTTATTTAGTTGTAGGTGGACACAACACCTCTATTTCATTTCCATGTGATGCTGAGGATTGAACCCAGTTCTCCACGCGTGCTAGGCAAGCGCCCCACCCTTGAGCAACAACCCCAGCCCTTAGCCAGACTTTTGATTTTTGCCAGTCTATTGGTTATGAATTGACACCTAAATATTTATCATTTACTTTTTGGGGGGTTGAACACCTTTTTGTGTATTTATTGTCCATTTTATTATTTTCTTTTTTTCCTGATTTGCCTATTTATGTTTTTTTGCCTCTTTTTTTGTGGTTTATCTTTTTCTTTGTAAGTTTAATGAACTCTTTTTTCATTCTGGGTACCAAATCTTTGCCTGTTATATGCAAAATTGTCTTATGGTCTGTGGTTTATCTTTTGTCTTTTTACTTTTTTTTTTTTCTTTAATGGTAAGTGGTAGATACCCATGTATTTTTTTTTCTACATTTTTTTATTGGCACATTGTAGCTGTATATAATGATGGGATTTGTTGTTACATATTCATACGTGCACACAATATAAYAAAATAATTTGGCTGATAGTCTTTTCACATTTTTTATGAAAACAATTTGTGGAGTTTTAAATTAAATTGTAGTCAGGTTTACTAAACTTTTTTTTCTTATAAGTTATGCTGTTTGTATCTTTTCTAAAAAACTGTTTCAGAACTGAAGGTCATAAAGATATTTCTTCTAGGAGTTTGATTTTTAAGGCAAGTATATGCATATGTGTATGAGAGTGTTCTAAAATTTTAAGTTTTGAAATTTTGTATAATTTATTTTCATATTTGTATAATCTATTTTTTTCTATGTCGATAACTGGCCGTCCCACTACTAATAAAGCATTGCTTTTCAGAATGGTTGATTCATGGTGCCATCTTTTTTTTTTTAATTTTTTTTTTTTACTGTAGATGACAAGATACCTTTATTTTTTGTGGTGCTGAGGATCGAACCCAGTGCCTCACACATGCTAGGCAAGCACTCTGCCACTGAGCTCTAGCCCCAGCCCCTATAGTGCCATCTTTTTTATATTGTAGCTTGACATTCATACTGTGGTCATATTGGGACTCTTGCTTGTGTTCTATCTTATTTGTCTCAGCATATCTGGTAGCGCAAGCACTCTTTACATGTTTGTTTTCTCCCCAGAACTTTGTTGGGTATTTTTGGACATTTATTTTTCTAAAATGGATTTTGGAATCAGTTCATCTGGGTAAAAAAAGTCCTACTGTGATTTCGATCACAGTCACATTGACTTCATAGATCAACCTATAATCCACATTGCAAGGATTATTGCTGGGAGTTTCATGAGGGCCTGGACTTTGTCTGCTTTGCTCATTTCTGTGTGTTACCTTGAATAGTTCTTAGCATACAGTAGATGTTTCACAGATATTTATTGAATGGCCATTTGACCGGACTTTTCTCTATTTATTCAGGTCTTTTATTTTGCTCAATAATATTTTGTAATTTTTGGTAAAGGGACTTATATTTTGTTAGTTTTTTAGGAAACTTATAATTTTTGTTACTAACGTGACCRCTATCTTTTATTTCTTACAAGTTTTGTTACTTATTCATGTTACAAATTTTGTTACTTATTGATGTTATTTTGTTACTTATTGGTTAATGATTGGGTATGTTATATAGTCCTAATAGTTTGTAGACTATTTTTCATCTTCTAGTCAGTTTTGATTTGAATTTTATTTAGTCTCTCACCTTTGCCTACCTAATTGATCTTGGTTTAACAGAAAGGCCAGGAGGTCAGATAAGTCACACATTCAAAGATTAGCTTTAAAATAATTTAATTTGGGCCTGACATATGAGATTTACATTCATTACTACTGTTAGGTCCTAAATGGCAATTCTTTTTTTTTTTTGTGTGTGTGTGGGGTGTTGCTGGTATGGGGTTTGAACTCAGGGGCACTCTACCACTGAGTCACATGCSCAGCCCTGGTTTCTATTTTATTTAAAGACAGGGTCTCACTGAGTTCCTTAGCACCTTGCTGTTGCTGAGGCTGGCTTTGAACTTGTGATCCTCCTGCCACGGCCTCCTGATCTGCTGGGATTACAGGTGTGCGCCACCATGCCTGGCTCACACAATTCTTATGAAGTCTACTTTGTCCCATATATCTTAGTGTAGGGTGATGAGCTTTTAAGACACTCACAGGGGTTGGGAGATGGAAAGAAAAGGAAAAAAAAAAAAAAGAAAGAAAAACTGAGGCCCAGAGACTTAGTAAGTTGCTCAAGTTCACAAAACCTGCAGCAGMGTTTTGGAATGCTGATTATTTTTTATTATCAGTTCTGCCTCTGAAATTTTAAGTTAAGCATTTTACTCTTTGGCAACAACCTCTACTCATTTTGACTTTTACTTGTTCATTTCTATTTTGATCTGTTCTTCCTCCTTGAGTCCCCTGGGCCTGTGWCTTGTTTAGCCTGCCTTTCATGTCTTATGACAATAAATATTCTGTCATCTACAGTCCCCTTAATTGATACGTATCCTCTTGTCTTGCCTCCATAATTATCCACCAGAACCCCAGTTAGCCCATTTAAGTCTCCCTCTGTTTCCATACACAGATTGCAGGAAACTCCACAGCACCATGGGGTTTGGGACTATATTGTCTGTTTTGCATTATTGTAACAAAATACCCGAGGAAAGATAGCTTTATATAAAGAAAGAATTTTATTTAGCTTATAGTTTTGGAGGCGGAAAGTCCAAAAAGCATTGCACAAGATCTGGAAAGGATCCCATGGCCAATGACTGATGGCAGAGTGCATGTGGGAGGTAGAAACCTGTTTTGGGAGACTAGATTCCTACAGTCCCTTCTATAGGAATGGAGACCTAAGGAGAGACTTTTCAAAAGGTTTCACCACTGCCCAGTACCACYCTGAAGACCAAATCTCCAAAGCATGAACCTCTGGGGGCTTTGGGCAAGTAACATCAAAGCATCCCAGGGACCAGGTCAAATTTCTGTTCCCGTTCTTCTGTTGAGCCCTCATACTCTCTTTGTCCTCTCCTACTGCCCTGAGTAGCCACTCTGAATGTTGGCTACCTTCCTCAAGCCTTTACTAGTACTTACTGTTCTCAGAAAATTATTTTGACTTATTCTTTGGAGAGAAAACAGGGACCCTGGACAGGCATCCACATAATTTCTTTTATGGAATTCATCTCCAAGTTTTCACCTTTGTTCCCTCCCATCTCAGCAGGAAGATTCCCATCTCTCCTCCTGGTCGGTCCTGGCTCCTCCTACCTCAGGAAACTTGTTCCTTCATTATTTCTGCTCTCTCTTATAGCCTCAGTGTCTTCCGGCTTATTTTCTCCTGCCTAAAACAGAACACTTCACCAAACCGTCCCTCCAGTTTGTGTCCTCTTGTAGGCATCGCGTCCTTCGACTGAAGTGTCTCTAGAGACAGTTCTTGTGGTCTCCTCTACATCTCCCTTTAGGCATGCCTTATAGTCTGATTGATTTTGTTAATCCACCCAGAGTGCCCAGGAGGTGGGTGAGCTCCGTGGCCACCATGGATGGATACATTTTAGCTCTGATGTTGCTTGGTTTTKGGGTGTGTGAATATTTGAGTTTGTTCTTCCCCTTTGGTACCATCTTAGCTTCCTGCCTCCTTTCTGACTGCCTTCTCCCCGTGTTTTAAACGAGCATCTGTTCCTTCTTTCACCCCTGTAGTTAGTGGCCTATCCTAGGATGCCATTTGATCATCCTGCCTTTTTTCTCTGAAAGATGCTCTTCCTCACATCGGTGTCACCCACATCCTTGTGCATTCACTCCCTGAGCTGATGGCTTCCAAATTAACACCTCTCCAGAGCTGAGGATCTGACCATCCAACTGTGACCTGGATTTTTCTTCTCCAATATAGCATAGGCTTCAGGTTCATATATCAAGTTCAGTGTGCCCAGACGTACAAATTATCCTCTTTCTCAAAATTGTTCTTCCTCTTGAATGCCAGGTCCTAGACATCCTTTGGGCTCACTTTCCTTCTTCTCTATTTGGTGATCAAGTCTGGTTATTATCTGGTTTTCCCAAATAGCTCTGAAGTCCATCCTATCCTCTTCATGTTTGCTCTTCTCATCTGAGTGTTCAATGTCCCTGGAAAGAACTTGCACAGTGGCTTTCTGACTGGTTTTCCTTCCTTTAAACTGGCTGCCGTTGGTCCCTCCTAGTCTGCACCCTCCCCTAGAGTGATCTTTCCCAGTGCATAAATCTGTGCATCTTGGCACCCTGAAGCTGCAGTCTCTGATGTCTCACCCTGGGAATGAGGCATTTGGCCTCAGTTCAGACTTTTGCATGATTACAAGGTGCTCATTATCTGGTCCCCACAGCCTTTATAACCCTCACTCTTACTCCAGCAACTTCATGCTCTGTACCTGGCAAACCACTCTCCTTTCTGGAACACCCTGAGATTTCATGCCTTTGTGTATGCTCTTTTCTCTGTTTGGGATGCCTTACTTCAACCCTTATTCCTTTTTTACCTATTGTACTCTCTGTGGTCAAAATACCCATCTGTCCGTCCATCCATCCATCCATCCATCCATCCATCCATTCATCCAAATATTTATGAGTAGCTGCTCTTTGCAGGTACTGCTGTTCTTGTTACATGACCATCCCTGCCCCTACGCCTACTCCAGATGAACCAAGCATTTCCTCCTCCTTTTAATATGATTGTACCTTTTAAAAAAATTTGTCTTGATTTTTGCCACAATTTATTTATTTATTTATTGGTGGTTGTTTATGTATGTTTCCCTACACTGCTGGTGAGCTCAAGAGATGGAATGTGTCTTCATTCAGTTTGTACCCTGATCCTTAGCATAAAATCCGACACCCAGGCACAGCCATATTTGATGGTAGCGTAGTTCTCAAACCCTGCCGATTTCCACTGTGGAATGATGTAGGAGCAGAAGCATAGGTGATGGTCTTTAGGGGGAAGTCCAACCCCCTACTCCCAAGTCTTTGCATGTATCTCACCATCAGGGAGAGCCCCATGTCCTAGGAAGTCTTCATGCAGCCTCTTTTCTTTGTTCTACCTCCACCATCATGCAGAAATAGGGGTGGGGGTGGGGTGGTGAGATTGGAACCATGAAGAGGACACCATAAACTGCCATCGAGATTTCAGGTTATCTTCAGGATTGTTAAGTGAACCTTTGGTTCCATTTCATCTCTTTTTGAGGAAGGTGAGTGGTGGGGAGGGGGAGGATTCTAAGAGAGGAGACATGTATTTGGCCTCAGTATTTGGAGGAACAGGTTTTTGAAAGCTGAAGTATTCCATAATTTCGTTATTCCCAAGATGTGAATGGTAAGCCTTAGTAGAAGCTGTAAAATCTTAATCTGAGAAGCACAAAAATGAGTTGGYCTTCAATATCAAATATTGATTGAAAGATGATCTTCCTCACATCGGTGTCACCCACGTCCTTGTTCATTCACTCCCTGAGCTGATGGCTTCCAAATGAACACCTCTCCAGAGCTAAAATGAGTTGGCCTTCAATATCAAATAATGAAATGTGGGAAAGTAGACTTAGAACTCCTAAAACACTTAAAGCTGTAGAAAGTGCACAGCAAAACCCTGACACACTAGCCACTTGGAAGGATCCTGGGGTTGGTGTCACATGCTACAATCTGTTGGAAACATGCTATTTTCTAATAACTGAAAAAAAAATATACAGTGTGGACATGGTTTTCATCATTGGATGCAAAAGTTATGGTAGTTCTATCTGAGAATCAAGCACTTGTGTGAGCATCAGATGAATGACCTCTTAGTCCCATTGCTTCTCAGGCATTTGTTCATTGCTRCTGCTGACTTTGACCATTGGCAAAAAATACCTAAAGCTTAGGATCACAGCCACCTGATGGTGCTGCAGAAAGCTTGAGGGAGGCTGGATTGAGGCTTCATATGACAAGGGTATCAGTGATGCATATTGATATTTATCAGATCTTTTAATAATAGTTGTAGAGAATGCCTAGGACCAAGCTCTGGGGATCCCCTGAGTAAGCAAGGGAACAGGACTCTGACTTCTTGGGGTCACCATTGTCTTTTCCTTTTGTCAGGTATGACAAAGAGACAGCCTCTCTTTGGAGGCCTCTTTCCCAGTCCTTTTGGGAGTACTTGCTAATTGAAATCCACACTTGGAAATCTACTTCATCTTGATCCCTGGTTACCACTTCACTTTCCAGAAAAGTTTTCTTTATAACTTGGTGAAAATAATCAGGTGGGACCATTGCATTGCCCTCTACCTACCTGCATGGAACTGGGTCCAGTTCCTGTTTGTCCTGGAATTTCTAGATCGGGTTGACTATTTCCCCTAAAAACTGGGAACCTCTGAAACACACACACACACACACACACATGCATGCACGCACACTCATATATATATTTTTTTCTCAAACTTTATTCTGTAGGCTGCGTTTTAATGATCTCTTTCTCTTTTTTCCCCCCAGAAGGTAAGAGGGGCATCTGGTGGAGCTTTGCCAAAAAGGAGGAATTCCAAGATTTTTTTAGGTAATGTAAATCACTGTCAGCAGTTTCCTCAGATTTCCTCTGTGCGTATGTGTGTGYGTGTGCATGTCTGAATTACAGTAATTATAGGTTCTTTATTGTTCTACAATATAAGGATGAGAGGCTCAAATTAAATCAAGAGGCTCTGACTCCACTTTGCATTTACCTGGTGGTGACGGTTGCTTTGTCACCCTTAGTTGGCTCTAGTGCTTTGAAGTGATTATATTTATAGTGACTAGAGTCACTTGAGAACCTAGTTCTGGTCTCTCTTTTCATTGACTTGGAAGAAGAGCCAGTTTTTCTTTTTTAAAAAAAATTAGCCAAACTGCAAGTTTTTGGATTTTAGCAGTTTGTCCATTAATGTCCCTTTTTGATTATACAACCCAGTCCAGGATCCCACTTTGTATTTAATTTTCATGTGTCCATCATCTTTTCCAATCTTTGAGAGTTCCTCAGGCTTTCTTTGTCTTTAATAATTATGACACTTTTGAAGACTATTGGTGAGTTATTTTGTAGATTTTGCCTCCCTTTGGGTTTGTCTGATGTTTTATCACGAAGAGTCTGAAGTTATGTATTCCTGGGGAAATTTCCACAAAARGAATGTGTCCCTTTCAGTGCATGCTATCGAGAGGTACATGACGTTGGTATGACTTCATGCTGGTGACGTTGAACTTGATCACTTGTTAAGGTTGTGTCTACAGGGTTTCTCACTGTGAAATTATAATGTAATCAATAAATACCTTGTGGATGCTTTGAGACTATGCTAATGTCATGTTTCTTAAGAGTTTTTTAAAAATTTTTTTTACCATCTATGATTGGATCTTGCCTGTAATAATTATTAGAGGGTATTTGTCTAATGGTGGTGTTTTAATTTTCTTCATTCAAGAACAGTCAGTTTTGCTTATGCTAAAGACTATTGATTTCTATATCATACAACTATGGTCATATTTCATATTAGGCTTCTGATATAGTTTCCTTAGGAGAAAAAAAATGATTCAATGTTTGACCAACCAGTTTACATCCCTTGTTTGAAAGAAATCTTAACATTGCTTGAATAGTATGATTTCATTTTGGTAAACAAAACAAAACAAATAAAAAAACAAACAAACAAATATATATAGTGTATATATGTATATGTGTACATATATGTATGTTTGTATGCATGCATGTATGCATATGATTGTCTTTGTATGTACATATGTGCATATATATACACACACCCATATATAAATATATAAATGGGAGACTGGAAGAATGTATTCTAAATTGTGAACAATAGCTCCTTCCTGGTGATAAAATGATTCTGATTTTTAAATTTGTATTTAAACTTTTCCATAACAAATACATGTTATCGTTGCAGTGAAGTCTCATGCATTACTTGATAAGTAGACTCACTGAAACAGTCATGAAGCTGAGTTTCCCTCCTGGTTTGATTCTCAGTTACTCTGTGCTAGGCCCAGTTTTGCTGTCTTCTCTCCTGCTTTCCAGCTCTGAGTTTTCTTTAGAAGGCTTATTTGCCGTTGCTTTTTCCACCCTGGTCAGTCTTTCCCATTTCTCAATGTGCCCCAATCAACCAACCAACCCAAACCATCCTTGCTGAAATGATTGAATGCATTGTGATGCTCTGGTTTTTATTTAGTCTTTTTTTTCCTTCCACTGATACATAGTTAATGTGAAATCTGAATTAAATGACATCAGTATGAACTTCTTGAAGGTAGAAATAATTTAACATTTTGACATACTGTTGTTATATATTTATTTATTTTTGGCTGAATGAAGAAGTTAGCAAAACTCTTAGCCTTTATTTAAACTTTGTGTCTTTTACTGAAGAGACTTTGAGGTTGCTTTTTTTTTTAGTAATTATTTTGATATTAGAGGATATTGTCAAGTCACTATTTAAAAAAATTATTTAACCAATTGAATAGAGGAAAGGGACCAGGGGGAGGGAAGAAGGGAAGGAAACAGGAGGTTCCTGGGAATGAAATTGACCAAATTATATTTTATATTGTGTGCATGTATTTTATATGGTGATGTAAAAATGAATCCCACCATTATGTATAGTTGTGATGTACCAATAAAAATTAATTAAAACTTAAAGGTAAGCTCTGAGTTTTTGTACTTTACACTCCATGGGCCCCTTTGWTTGTTACCCATCATTTCATTTCGTTGGGACTTTTCTTACTAGCCACTCTGTTCAATCAACATTCTGTGACTCAGAAGACTACAGGATATATCTGAAACTCAAAGCCCAGCCTGAGTGTTCTGTTTGGACTATGTTCATTTTTAAAAAATTTAAACTGGAATGGCATTAGCTCTCTGGGGCTTTCCCTAGACCCCATTTCTCCCTCTTGTTTTACCCTCAAGTGTATTTACGTTAGTGCCTCCATCTGTGTAAGATCTTAGTGTTGCAGGCTTTGAGTGACAGTTTTCTCCACCACTGCTTCTCATGTTCCAGGAGCAAGCATTTTTCTCTTTTCACACTAATCACAGCTCTTGAGTTCAAGTAGATATATCCTGTAGTGGTGGGTCCTATTAGGATTATTTCCAGTTTATGTAACAGAAAGCTTTAGATATTGACATCTTTAAATAAGATTCGTGCTTATTTCTCTCATGTGAAGGATATTGGGAAGCAGTTAAGTACAGGATAATGGGATGGCCACGTGTTCATTAAGGATCTTGATTTTCTGTGTATTTCTGCCTTATCCTCCCATCTTGGCCTGTGACTTCCAACCTCATGGTCATTTGGCCCAAAGTCGGTTTAGGGACTCCAACCATCTCCTTCCCATTTGGAAAGCAAAAAAGAGGAAGGGGGAAGGAAAAGGAAAAAAAAAAGTAATTTTCCAGTGTAATTACCTGCTTTTTGTCTGACTTTTCAAAGATCCCCACTTGGAGTACACCTCTCTGATCAGAACTTGGTCACACCCTGCTGCAGAAGAGACTAGAAAATAAAGTCTACTAACTGCTTCACTGAGTGAAGTTGGGGGTTCTTTCTAAACAGAAAAGGGAGCACAGGTAGTGGGAGGCAGCTAGTAGCTTCTGCCATACACATTTCCTTTTTTGAAAGGGACATTAGGGTCATCTCTTTATAGAGGGGAAAAGAACTCAGACCTGTTTGGCAATTTCTTTTCATTTCTTTGACTGGGAAGCACCATCTCACTAGTTCTGAAATGTAGTTGTTGGGATACCCTGCCTTCCCCTTCATAAAGCAGACGTAGATGGCCAATGCTTTATTTTGGATTGAAGCTTTTTTTTTTTTTTTTCCTCCCCTTCCATTCCCCTGATGATTGTGTGAATAATTCCTTTTCCAGTGACTCAACAGTGACATTAGAAATCACTGTTTGATTACAGCCTTTAATAATGATTTTGTCAGGGAGGTTGAGGCCTTTAGTTGGTACTGAACAGCTGGCCTGAGCCTCCTGCGTGTCATCCGCCTCTCAGTGGACAAGTCATCCTTCCTCTGAAACACTTTGATATCCATTCAAGTGAAATGACCTCATCTCCAGGCTTTGTTGGTAATTTGTTCTTTAATCAACAACTGTGATTATGGGTAATGTCAAAATCATTTTGAATTCTATACTATTTTGCATTTRGCATTTAAAAAATATTTTCTGAACACTTAACCTATGGACAAAGCTTAAAATTTTACAAAAAAAAAAAAAAAAGAATTGTAAAAGACTGTGTAGTGAAAAATTTATCTCCCTTCCCTGTCTCCCAGCCACTTGTTCCCAGAGACAAATGCTTCTTGTCATTGGCTGTTCCTGGACACACAGGAGCAGCCAATGAGAACAGCAGCACAACACCTCCTTGGATATCCTTGCTTTGCTGTCATCTGTCCTGAGCACACTAGTGATCTTGGCTTCCTGAAGTCTCCTTTTATGAATGTGTGCTGAGTGCATGGTGTGTGTGGGGGCACTGTGCAGAATTTGGGGATATGGGAGGTGAATACGACTTGTTCCCTCTCTGAGCTCATAATTGAGAAGCATTTGAAGATCTACCTTCTCCACACTTAGATCATCTGAAAGATCCCCACACAATGCCATGGTTTTCCTGAAACTTATTTCAGGATTACTTCTGAGCTGGTGCAGCTAAAGGGAGGGGAGGCATTTTGGATGGTGTTAACTGTTGGGAATGTGGAGAAGGTAATGAAGATGTGATGCTGGTGATTATCTGTGAGTCTCTYGGACTCATTAGATCCTATTAGGTGCCTTAAGACCTTATCTTGCTTAATCCTGTTAATCTTATGCAGTAGATAATATTATCTATAGCTTACTCATGAGGAAAATGAACTTGGAAAAAACTCACCGGGGATGACAGAGTTAGTAAATGTTAGAACAGGATTTCTTTTGGACTTTGTTTRCTTATTCAGACCATGTAAGATTTGAATTAGCATTAGTGAATATGTTTTCTTTGGAAAAGGGACAAATATTATCTTATATGAATCCAAACTGTACATGAACACAAGATTTGTACTTGRAAAATGTGGTATATATACACAATGGAATATTATTCAGCATTAAAGGAGAATAAAWTTGTGGTGTTTGCAGGTAATTGGATGAAGTTGGAGAATATAAAGCTAAGTGAAGTTAGCCAATCCCCCAAAACTAAATGCTGAGTGTTTTCTCTGATTTAAGTATGGTGATTCGTAATGGGGTTGGGGGGGTGGGCATGGGAGGATTAGCTGAACTCTAGATAGGGCAAAGGTGAGGGAGGGGAAGGGAGGGGGTGTGGGGRTAGGAAAGATGGTGGAATGAGATGGACATCATTACCCTAAGTAAATGTATGAAGACATGAATGGTGTGACTCTACTTTGTGCACAACCAAAAATATGAAAAATTGGGCTCTATATATGTAATATAATTGTAATGTATTTTGCTGTCTCACACACACACACAAACACACACACATATCACACACACACACATATATATGTGTGTGTGTATATATATATATATATATATACACACACACATATATATAAATTAAAATAAAAAAGAGATTTGTCCTTGGTTATTTAAAATGGTTACTTGTGCAATAACAAAGAATATTTTAAGAGCAAAGTTCACCCACTCAATATTTTCATTGGTGCAGGCTTCTTTCCAATTTTTATCTATGAACATAATATAAAGTTGTCTGGAGAGTGAAGATGAATTTTTAGTGTTAACATAGCAAAAACATTTCCATGTTTCTGCATAGTCTAAATAACTGTCATTTAAATAATATTCTGTTGAGTTGAATGTCATTTTTGTTGAATATTTAGGTTCCAGTTTTTTATAGATATAGATACTGGGACATTCAAATTTTTATAGCACATACAATGCCTTTTTGTTTGAATTATTTGCTTAAATAAATGCCTTTCATTCCTTCTTAAGCTAATAGAATCTTTAAAATCATCTTTTATTAAATTAACCTTTCATGGCTATCTAGCCATGTTGTTTGGTTCTTCATTTTGTAGTTTCTGATTCTTACTATTTAGAATCTTTTATTGAAATGTTTGGATTGTGTTTTCTCTATATCTTATTTCTTACTTACACCTGCCCTACCTTTGAGAATTCCAGAGCAGAGGTAAGATTTGCTAGGTTTTTGGTTARAGGTRTACAAGATCATAACAGGATCTGGATCCTTTGGTTCTCAGGCAACTTTCAGAGTCTAGTCAGGTGACTTTCTTCTATCTACAGTGCCTGTGTTTCTCCATGTGTTTGTGTACCTGTTCCTGTGTGAGTTTGTGCGTGTGAGTGGCATATAGTTCAATTTTCCTTTTTGTCACCATAGTTCCAAACTTAGAAATATACAAACATGATCTGGGATGCTGGCATCCCCATGAACGTGAGACTGAAGTGTCCCTGTAAATATTGTGACAGGACGTTTCCTTGAGACTTCATCTAACCTTTACCAGAGATTAACCAAGCAAARAGGTGATGACTTAAGAGATAACAGGCTGGAGAAGCTCATCTTTTTTACTAKGAATTCTCTGCAGCTCAAGGGCAACAGGACTGCTCACATGACAGGGTTTCCCCAGCTGGTTTACTCTGCAAGATCTCATGACCATTAGAGGAAGGGAATGGGCACAGGGGAGAGACAGAGATAGGTGAGAGAGAGAGTGAAAGGGAGATTTTGTTTTTAAATAATAGCTGCCATTCATCGATGACCCATTGTGTGCCAGGTCTCTTTTCTACAATTTCTCATTTACCTCTTACCTAAATGGTGTGAGATAAATGTTATTATCTCCAGCTGCAAATGAGGAAACTAAACAGATACAGAGTTTGTGACTTGCCGCAAGTAACATGAAGTTTTGGGACYAGCACTGAATCTAGGTTTACCAGTTCTCAAACCCATGCACTTTCTTCTATATGATAGCCCATTCCTGTGAAATCAGCTATCAGGTACCCCCCAAATCATATTTAGAAATATATTCCTTTAAAAATCTTTTAAGAATTTGTATCTAGGGCTGGGGATGTGGCTCAGGCGGTAGCTCGCTCACCTGGCATGTGTGCGGCCCGGGTTCGATCCTCAGCACCACATACCAACAAAGATGTTGTGTCCGCYGAAATCTAAAAGAATAAATATTAAAAAAAAAAAGAATTCTGTATCTAGCTTGTATGTTTGTTCTGCTAGGCTTTGTGATGTGACTCAGTCTTCTTCGTACATCTGTCACTGGTAAATAAATATTCATGACTAAGGGAAGATGGCAGGACCTGTTATTCCTGGTTTGGGGCAGACAGAGGGTCGTGTCAGAGTTGGAAATTGTAAACGTCACATCCTTAGTACGGTGTCCCTGTGGTGTTCTGGCTTTCCCAGTGTGTGCTGCCTCACTTTTTATTCTTTGTTTTTGTTTTCTCCTCAGATCTAGATACTGATGACGATTTAAATAGCGACGATTATGAATATGAAGATGAAGCCAAACTTGTTATATTCCCAGACCACTATGAAATAGCACTACCAAATATTGAGGAGTTGCCAGCCCTGGTCAGTGAGTGTGCACGGCTGCTAGCTAGATGCGCGTGACTCTGTCAGGTGTGTGTGCGTGTGCCATGTGTGTGTGTATATGTGTGTGTGTGTGTATGTGTGTGGGACGGGGGCAGGGAAGGTGAGAGCATGAACAGGGGCCTATTGCTTTTCCTCTGTGACAGGGTCTTGTGGGGTTGTGGTTCGGTACTGCTGGGCCTCTTACTTTCAGTGCTGGTGGGCTTCGTTGCTCCCCAGGCCAGCCTCCTCCAGGGTGGTCTGGCCTCCTTGTCAATCTGTTGCTTGATTTGCAAAGTGTGCCCTTCTCATGTGCACAGACTGCTGGAGGGGGACCATCTTCTGATCAGAAGGATGACAGTATTTTTAATTGGGCTTCTCATGTKGTCTTTCCATGTAGGATTTTGCTTGGGTAAACTAAAAGTGTGCCACTGTAGAATGACAGCAACACGGTTATGAAAAAAACCTGACCCTCAAAAATCCCAGGTGTGCGGGAGCTCTGGGAAAGTTCAGCTCTGCTCCTGTGAAGACCATTTATATCTTTAGCAATGAGCTTTTCCCATCCCCTTCCCTTCTCTTTTCTTCCTTTTCCTTCTGTAAGAATCCGGTTTTGTGAAGGGATTCTGAACTACTTGAAGCTGGTGGCGGTGATGGGGGATGCCATGATGTTTTCCTTTGCTTCTGGAATCTTCCAAGAGGKCACAGAGTTCTTATGGGGACCCTACATGTTTTTCCTGCTCTTTCCTCATTTCCTGTGTTGCCTCCAGCACTTCACCCTCCTTCCTTTTTCCATTTCCTCTTCCCCACCCCCCCACCCCTTTTTTTTTTTCCTGTTTTCAACTCTGAGCACACCTTGACCTCTCAGGGTCCTGCCACAGATGGCAGGGGGCTCTGTGTGAGTCAAGTTTAGACATGCCAGTTCATTCCCCGCCCCCCCTCTTCAAACTCTGCCAGAACCAAAGTCAGGTCTTATGGTCCCACCATCTTCTGGATGTTACGTGACTATAGCCATCTGCTCATTTGCTGCTGCCAAGAGGAGACCTTTGTGCTTAGGGTTTCCAAGTTACCAGGGACCAGGTTTCTACCACTTAACCTCTTTCCCTTGATCTAATTTATATCTAAATGTGTGACCATCCAAATGAGAAATTTGTGTATTTATCTATTGTAGCCCTTTTACTTATTAAATGGAACATACCCTTTTCCATTCCAAGTGTCCAGTACTTAGTGAAGCATGCAGAATTAAATTACCTTTGCTTTCTCAGGTTCCCCATGTTGACTCATGTGACTGTTAGCAAGGATAAGATATATTAGTGGACAAAATGGTCTTACTTTATCCCATTACCTGAAATGATACATTAAGGCTATGCCCTTCTTTGATAGAACTCTTGTTTCTGCTGTTGGAAACGAAGCAGCATATTGTGAATAAATATCATGAGAAATCATTTTTCTCTCAATCACTCATCATGAAGTATGTGAAAAAAGTAAATAAAAAACTTCTTAATCATCTCTGTATTCAGGGTATAATTTGAACTCTGAATATTCTTATTTAAAAAGCAAGTGCCACAAAAATCTGAATCCATAAGATATATCATAATTTTTAATAGAGTATCTTTTAAAATACTTTAACATGAAAAAATTTATTACTTAAATACTTTAAGAATGGGGGAAGGGGCTGGGGATGTGGCTCAAGCGGTAGCACGCTTGCCTGGCATGCATGCGGCCTGGGTTCGATCCTCAGCACCACATACAAACAAAGATGTTGTGTCTGCCAATAACTAAAAAATAAATATGAAAATTCTCTCTGTCTCTCTCTCTCTTCCTCTCTCACTCTTTCTTTAAAAAAAAAAGAATGGGGGAAAAAAGAATTATTTGGAAGTGGTTGAGTAGTAAGATTGAATAACAAATCAGGATTTATCTGATGGTAACCAAGAGGATTTAACTACACGAAAGACGCTAGTTACTATATTTTCTTATCATGCTTTTGCTGTATTTTTTGGTATTTGAAGATTCTCCCTTGAAAATTTATTTATTTATATATAGTACCAGGGTTTGAACCCAGGGGCACTTAACTACTGAGCCACATCCTCAGCCCTTTTTTCATTTTTAATTTTGAGACAGGGTCCTGCCAAGTTACTTAGGGCCTCGCTAAGTTGCTGAGACCTGTCTAGAATTTGCAATCCTCCAGTGTAAGCCTCCCAAGTTGCTGCTGGGATTACAGATGTGTACCCCTGTGCTTCACTCTTTTTAAAAAAGTCGTTGGTCTCAAAAATACCCAAGAAATGACTCTTCCTTTATCTCTTGAGTGTCTCAGCCCAGAACAATTTCATACAGAGAGTTATTCTGTATATTCTATCAGAAAGTGAGGCCACTTCTGGGTGTTGCAAGTTTTACAGAGGCAATATTGTGGGCTCAGCTGGGGCCTTGCAGTCTGGAATTCAGTGTCTTCATTTCCCACCTCAGGAACCTGAGCATCGAATGCTGTGCTGGTAGTTTAACAGCAGGCTCCTGTGGGAAACAGCCCTGCCTGTGGTGTGAGATGATTCCCTCAGTGTCCACTCCTTCCATGGCCGATTTCAGGCTAACATCATGACATGATAGAATGCAGTTTGCAGAGAGGTGCAGTAGCAGACTGTTTTTACAATTCCCACTATTCAGCTAAAGTAGATGTAAGTAACCTCAAGAACATGTAGATGGTAGATACAGTAAGATGTCTAGAAAGTGAGGAGTTTTTGAAGTGAGGAGTTACGTGCTACCTTTTAAAGATATTTTATGTATGTTTATATATAATTTAATTTTTAATAAGGGTTGTGTTTAGCAACCATCTTGCAAAGATTTCTTATTTTTTTTCTTTTTTGGTACATATAAATGTAAAAATTGTACATATTAATGGGATATCGTGTGAATTTTTCAATACATGTATATACTTAATGATGTTTAAATAAGATTAAACATTCTGTCTCTTGAAACATTTGTCATCTCTTTATGGTGAAAACATTTAGAATCCTTTTTTAAAATTATTTTTTAGTTGTAGGTAGACACACAATATTTTTATTTCATTTTTATGTGGTGCTGAGGATTGAACCCAGTGCTTCATGTGTGCTAGGTGAGCACTCTACCACTGAGCCACAACCTCAGCCCCTGAAATCCTTTTTTAAAGCTTTTGAAAATATATAGTATATAGCTGTTATCTGTTATCTCAGTACTGCTCTTATCTAACTGTAACAGTTCCCATTGGTCAATCTTTCCCCAACCCTTCCTCTCCTCTACCCTTCCCAGCCTCTCAACTTCTGTGTGATCAGCTTATTTTTATATTTCACATATGAGTGAGCTCCTGGGGCACTTGTCTTTCTGGGCCTGGTTTATTTCACTTAACAGAATGACCTCTAGTTCCATCCATGTTGCAAATGACAGGATATCTCTCTCTCTCTCTTTAAATGACTGAGTAGTATTCATTGTGTGTATATACCATATTTTCTCTGTCCATTCATGAATTGATGAACACTTAGGTTGTTTCCATTTCTTGGCTATTGTGAAGAGTCCTGCAATAAGCATGGGAGCGTGAAATTTCTTAAAATTGAACCATCAACTCCCATGAGCCAGCTCAAGTGAGTTCTAACGTACCACTGCACTTGAGGCTTACGAGACTTGGGATAGAGCCAAGGTCTCCTCACCTCACTCCAGATAACAAATCCAAGGAAAAAGTAATTCACAGGGTGATTATAGAATGATTGATCCTGACCTTCAGCTATTCATAAAAAGGGCCTGTAAATGATTCTTTTTTTTGATGACATTTTAAAAACACTAGATCAGTAGTTTATAAAAGTGGTTCAGAAGTCTAAGGGAATTTTGTTGGATGTCACCAGAAAGGATATTCAAAGAAAAGGGAAGATTTATATTTGAATCTTCTTTAATATCATTGTACATTGCAAACTAGAGCACTAAAGACGATCTAATGGGGAATGAAAATCCAGAGGAGGACAGAGCAATGATCCATGTAGTTGGTGAAACAAATAAGGGGCTTATATCAATCAGATCAGACTAAAAAGATGAGGTGCTGTGGCCAGAGTGCTGAGGGGGCCTAGAAGGGACTCAGCACTGGGAAAATCTGGAAGAGGCTTTTAGATACTCAGCCATGTGTTTCACAGGCATCTCTGGAAGGTGGTGGGAGGTGAATTTTGATAATTGAAAGGAAAGACTAATTATGTATAGCCATTGTGGTGAGAGATAAATGAAAGCTTCTCTTTTTAAAAAAGAGAATGTCTGCTTGTTCTGTAATAGATTCCTAGACGTTTTTTTTTTTTTTTTTTTGGTACTGGGAATTGAATCTAGGGGTGCTTTACCACTGAGCTGCCTCCCCAGTCCTTTTAATTTTTTTTTTTAAATATATTTTGAGTCAGTGTCTTGCTAAATTCCTGAGGCTGGCCTTGAACGTGCGATCCTCTTGCCTCAGTCTCCCGAATTGCTCAGCTAGATTCCCAGACTTCTGAGGGCTGGGACCTCTGTCTTGTTCCTGTCTATACCTGGCCCTGTGTCATCACTGGGTAGGGTTAAATGTCACCCTGGAGAATTCACTCTAGCGAAGGATAGGATCTCATTTTCAGAGCCAATCACTCTGACAGCTGGGTAGAAAAGAGGGAATAGAGCGTAAGAAAAGAGAAACCTAGGCTGCTGTGTAGCCATCTGTGTGAGCCATGCTGGTGTCTGAAACTGGGAGGGGATGGCCAAAATGGAGAAGAGGTAGATGTCAAATGTATTGCTCCTGGAGGATTTGTAGGAGTTGCTCAGGGCCTGGGTGGTGGTGGGGTGACAGCTGAGAAACTTCTTTTGTTTCTTACTTGGTCCTAGGTTTGGTTGTCAGTGCTACTCTGGAGGAAATGGTCAGCTAATTGTGCAGAAAGTTAGTAATGTAGAATGCAAATTTTATTTTCAACATTTTCAAAAAATAATTAATTCACTTTTATTCCTTATCCATTGCYATTATCTAATTTTAGAGTATTTTTATTGCTCCCCCAAAGACCCTACTTTCCTTAACCATCACCCTCTAAACTACCCTACTAGCCTATGGAGATCACTAATCTATTTTCTGTCTCTATAGATTTATCTATTCTAGATATATTAATGGAATAAAAAATATATTATTCCTTATGATTGTCTTTTTACCATTTGCATATATTTTCAAGATTTATGCATGTTATAGCCCATATCAGTAGTTTGTTTCCTTTTATTGCTAAATAATATTCCATTCTATGAACACATTACCTTTTATTTTATATTATCTTTATCACAGATACTTATTTGGGTTGTTTCCATTTTCTTATAAAAAAGGCTGCTATGAACATTTGCTTACAAGTGTTTGTGTGGTCACAGATTGACATATCTCTTGGGTATAACCCTAGTTGTAAAATGGTTGGGTTCTGTGGTAACTCTATTTAATCGTTTGGGGAACTTACTGTTTTCTAAGGTGCTTGTACCATTTTACCTTCTCATCAGAATATAAGTTTTTAAAGACATCTAGAAATAATTTGTTGTATTAAGCAAGTAGCAAATGTTATTGCAGGCAAGTGACCAGGATGAATTGGGTTTGGGGGAAGGCAGAGAATCTATCTTCCTCTTCTCTGGGTCAGTTGGTGCCAAGCAGGACATCACACATTTGCTCATGATGTGGACTGGTCTGGCACAAATATATCTAGGCATGTCCTGTCCAGGGTCACATTTGCACCAGATTAAGAAATGGAGCCACACTGCATACATTCCATTCAAGTGCTATTGACTGCATGCCACTGTGTGATGAGTTGAGGATATTGGATATGATGGTGTATACTTGTTAGGAGGAAAATACCACTTGGGTAAATCCTGAGCATTCCTGTACCTAATTTCATCCTTGTAAATTCTTCCATCTCATACTTTTTACCCTGCTTGCTAAGTGGTTGGAATTGTTCAGTTTGACCTCTGAGCTTGAGCTTACAAACTGCATTTGGTTCCTTGCTACCTTGTGTCATTGCTAATACTCCCATTTGTAGGCCAGGGATGAAAACCTGGTTAGGTCCAGGGGAAAATGTAGGGAACCAGGGTCTCACCCTTGTGGTAAATGTGTTGTTTGAATTTTCTTCAGTTAAGCTGTATTTATTAATGGGCTTTTAGGTTTACTTTCCAGCAGTTGCTATTCTCACAAAATGTTTTTATATGTTACATCGGGTTTGTCTTTTAGGTGACAATTGCCTGCGATGCAGTTCTTAGCTCAAAATCTCCATACAGAAAGCAGGACCCAGACACATGGGAAAATGAGTTGCCAGTATCTAAATATGCCAATAACCTCACCCAGTTGGACAATGGTGTCAGGATTCCTCCAAGGTAAGAGCCAAATATAAGCAATTAGCAAATAGCCAATTAGCCCCTAACAGTGGCCAAAGGAACATTTGCTTTTCTACCTCTTTCCTTGATCAGCAGTTACATATTTTCTTACCAAATGCCTTTTATTAAAAGGAGCTCAAAACTTCTCTGTAAAATAGCTTATAGGTTTGCAGTAGCTATAGAATGTACCCAGGCCATCCCCTAAACCCTCACCTGCACTAAAACTGCCAGTTGCAAAAACCTGCAATTCTTGGYTTGAGGGTTGTCTCCTCCTGCTGAAGCCAGCTGGGCCCTCCATGGAGCAGTCATAAATGCCAGAGTCAAAGCTCCTTCCTCTTATCCTGGAACAGCCCTCAACCAGTGGTTGTGGAATGGGTGGATAAATACCTAGCCTCCTGCCATTCCAGGTGAGAAAACTGTCTCCTGTAGTTCTCCAGCTGGCCTGAGCCCCAGTTGCCCATGGTGGTCACCTGCTCATCAACACACCCTATATGGCTTCCTGCCCTTTCCTGTCTGCCTTCCCCATTCCCCTGGGATCACGTCCCACGTAAGCCACTTGCACTTAAGTTTTTGTCTCAGAGTTTGTTCTGCAGCAATCTTTGGTTGTCACATTTTGGTGGAACTACTCTTGGGGCTGCATTGGCATCTCCTTTACTGGGTGCTGGTGTGTTTACAGAGGCAGATCCTGGAGGAAAGGGCAGGTGGTCCTTGGTTGGACCCTGATTTTAATGTATTCCATTCTGTGTGGTCTTAGGAAAGGAGTGTCACTTCTGAGTCTCAGTTTCTTCCTTTATAGCAGTGGGGATAGTAAAACGGTGCTAAACAGCATTTACGAGAATTCAATAAGTCTTTCCGTAAGTTACCTGGCACATAGCTGATATTTCCCATTCCATTTCTTTTCTCATTAATTTAGATTTGCAGTGTAGTAAGTAGGATGTGCTAGTCAACTTTCCATTGTTATAACAAATACCTGAGATACCTGAGATAAATCAACTGAGTAAGAGAAAAAGTTTATTTTGGCTCACAGTTTTGGAGGCTTCAACCTATGATCAGTTGGTTCTGTGGCTTTTGGACCAGTGGTGAGGCAGCACAATGTGGTGGGAGCTCCTGCTGGAGCAGGCTGCTCACTTCATGATAGGATGCAGAGAGAGAGGAAGAGGAGGAGCCAGGGTTCTGATAGCTTCTTTAAAGGCAGCCTCCAATGACCAGAAAACCTCCTCCTGGTAGTGCCAAGCTGGGGACCAAGCCTTTAATGCATGGGCCTTTGGTGGACACTCCAGATCCAGACTCTTCTATAAGGTTTTGTTTAAACCAGTTTTACTCTAGTTTTAAACTAGAATTGCTGTTCTAATAGTAGATTCAGTTATGCATGTTCCTGGTTCCTGCTTCAGTCCTCTTAGCCAAGAGATAAACAGAAGGATATAACAATAGCAATTAGTTTAAACTAGTTTAACTCTAGTGGTTAATGCTTTAGAAGTTAGCCATTTATATACACAGACCCTTAATGTTTGCAACTTGTTCAAGGTCCACTGTCCAGCACATGGGAATTTTGAGAAAATGACCTTCCCTTCTACCCCTCATGCTGTGTGTTGGTTTTCTAAAGTCAAAGAATCATCTCGGAGACGCTAGGAGGAGCTGGCCCACGTCTGGGAGGCAGGCAGGGTGCAGCGTGGTCCTGCTGCTCTGCGAGGGGTAAAGATAATGTTTGGAGGGGAGAAGGTGGGGAGGCATCAGTCTCTGTTACCACAGAGCATTTCTTCTGACCTGCCAGCTTGAGATGCTGTTTTTCTTAGATGTTAGTATTTTTGTTGTGCTCTGGCTGTTCTGACTGCYCTATGTCACTACTTTCCAGTGGTTGGAAGTGTGCCAGGTGTGACCTGCGGGAGAACCTCTGGTTGAATCTGACCGACGGCTCTGTCCTGTGTGGGAAGTGGTTCTTCGACAGCTCTGGGGGTAATGGGCATGCACTGGAGCACTATAGAGACATGGGCTACCCTCTAGCTGTGAAGCTGGGAACCATCACTCCCGATGGGGCAGGTGAGTATGCCTTTTCCAAATCTGGGAACACGTAGTGGCTTTTTAGATTTAACCCATCCTTTTATCCCCATGGTGGGTGTAGGCTCTGAACTCTGAACTGCTGTGAAGTCTTGAACAAGTTTCTAATCCTTCTGATTCCCTGTCTGGTGAATAGCAATGGCACCTCTTTCATGTTTATGGATGAGAATAAGGCATTTAGCCCCGTGCACATACTAAAGCTWGAAAAAAAAAAAAAGTTAGCTGCTATTGTTATATCCTTCTGTTTATCTCTCAGCCAGGAGGACAGAAGCAGGAATGAGGATTTTGAAGTGAACATGCGTAATTAAACCCACTATTAGAACAGTAGGAGAAAGTCCTCGAATTCATTATGGGGATTAGTACCGTTTTAGGAACAAATGGGTTAATTATGGAGAAGATGAGTTTTAACAAATTCTCTTTGTTAAGAGTCTCAGAAATCGCCTGGCAGTGATGGTGTTCGAGTTCTTTGAAGGATTAGGATGGCTTCCTACTTGGACTGTCAGCTTTAGAATCAGTTGTTTCTTTTTGCTCTCATGCAGCCTGTCCTAAAGTGTTGGCTTTTGGCCATGATTCTATAGTTAATTCCTCCTACCATTTTGTGATGGAGATGGGAAATAATTTCAGGTCCAGATGAGAAACTTAGATATTGAGCAGAAGCTATGAGAAGGGAGGGTACTGGGAAGGGAGGGGGAATGAGACGGATCTTATGTGTACGTATGAAGTATGAATGTGACAGAGAATCCCACCGTTAGGTATAATTATAATGTCCGAATAAGAAAAAAGAACCCATCATCTAATCATTCTTCAAAATGCAGGTCTATACCCACCCCAACCTTCTCCATCTTCCCAGCTCTCTTGAGTCTCTCTGTTGCCTCTGTGTTTTATGGTAAGACCATGTTTTTAGAAGAAATATAAAAACATCTGTCTTCCCTCTTCTTGGTTATYGTTCTGTGATTGAATTAGCTTGCYTCAGAGTTAATTGATCAAGATCTTTCACTCAGTCTGGAACACTTCACACCAACCATTAAATGGGTTTAGTTTGTCATTTTGGAAAWTTTTTYYTTTTTTTTTGCAGGGGAGTGGGTACTGGGGATTGAACTCAGGGCACTTGACCACTGAGCCACATCCCCAGCTCTATTTTGTATTTTATTTAGAGACAGGATCTCACTGAGTTGCTTAGTGCCTCACTTTTGCTGAGGCTGGCTTTGAGCTCTCAATCCTCCAGCCTCAGCCTTCTGAGCTACTGGGATTACAGGTGTGTGCCTTCAAGCCCAGCTGGAAATTTTTTCTTGCTTCCAAATTTCATAGAATTCTTTTAATTCATTATTGTTTTTGGACAGGTGTAGTTCTTTTTATATTAATGTATTAGACTGATTTTCTAGTATGTATATGTGTTGGTGTTTTTCTTAATTTTTTWAAAATGAACTCTTTAGTTATTAAGAATATCAACCTATTATGTGCCATAGTTGTTAAGTGGGTTTATTTTTGTTATTGTTGTTAAAAAGGGAGAACTTTGTTCATTCATGGAGTGTGTAAAACAGGGGCAACAGTGCAGACCCCATGTCCTGTGGTGATGGTTCTTGAATTCATGTAGCTGAAATAAATAACGTTAACTTTTGAAAAAAAGATAAGATTTTGAGTCCTGRGTATGTTGTATAGTTCTAGTTTTAATAAAATGACTGTTTTCTAATTATCATTTCTTATTGTTCATGGATAGCATTAATTCTATTTTGTTTCCTTTAAAWATGTTTAAATCTGTTTGTTAGCTATAACTTACTGTTTATTTAAAAGCCAAATGAATCAGTAAGAGTGTATATGAAGTTTCTTGAAGTGTTTTGCAATGAGCCTGTGGACCCTGAGATGCAGGAGGGTGGGTGTCTTCCATCTGGCGATTGGGGACATGTCCTGGTAAAGGTACCTCTGCCAACGTAACCATCTTCTACACTCATTGGACCCTAAAGCACTAACTACTTCAACTCACCSGAGACAAAGTCTCAAAGTCAGGACATTCGTTTTTAGGTCATAATATGAACCACAACTGCCAGTATGTGGGATGTTTATGTCAGTTTGACCAGTACATTCCCTCCCTGTGGGAAGATAAATTATATTTAGAAGATTGCCTTGTGGACATGGAATTCAAGAAGGTTGTGGATTCAATTACTTAATGATACCTTGATCTGATCATCCTGATTTCCTTTCCCCCAATAAGGATGTGCCTGTTCAATGAGAAATTCCTTCTCATCCTTGAGGTGTCTGTGTAGATTGTAGTTCTCCCAAGAAGCCTGGATTCCCCCAGGCTAGGCCAGGATGGTTGGCACATGTCAYGAAAATAGGCCCCATATCCAGTTCCACTCTGAGTCCCCATGGGGACAATAACAAACAAAACAAGAAACAGCACACAAACAAACAAAAGCTTTYCTATGGGGGAAGAGACATTGTTTTGGCCAAGCAAAGGGGAGGTTCTTGATGCGATGGGAGTAAGGTGAGAAGGAGGCTGGAGAGGTGTTTTTATTCCATCATGGAAACTAGTTATTAACCTAAGAAGGTGCTTATGGGCTACAGGTCACTGCAAGAGAGTGGTCCAGGAATGCACGAGGCAGCTGTGAGATTGCCTATTCCACTGGCTGCTCCAGGTCTGAAGCCTCTCAAGTTGGTCTTTCTTCTTTGGTCATAGTATTCACCTCTGACCTCTGACCCGGGCATAAGTTCCCTTGAGTTTCTCACAGCCTGATTGGAATCAAGGCATGACTGCCTCACTTTTTGATCTGGCTTGTGCCCCTCCTGTGTGCCTGTATCGCCTGGTGGTGCTCCACAGTGGCATTTTTCACAGGATTCTGAGATTGTTTGTTTAAGGGTGGCCAGCTGGAATTGTGGGGACTGAACGCCACGTTTGTTATGCATCTAGCATAGTTCCTGCACATAGTAGGTGCTCAGTAAACATGTGTGGAGTCAACAGTGGAAGACAACGCCAACAACATGTTCTTCTGCTTCACCTTTTTTMTTTTCTTTAAAAAAAAATTTTTTTTGATGCCTTCTTACTCTTGTTAGCTTTTCTTTTCTTTTTTTTTCTTCCTGACTACAGTCTAGGTTTTGTCTGGCCTGGGAGTTAAAATCATTCTTTAAAATGCTTGTCCATACGTTTGACCTCATTCATTTTGCGTTTATTTTTCTAGGGTAATTGCGGGAGCATTCTCTCCTTTCTCTTCATTTCATTTCTTTTTAGTGGCCGATGGCTTGTCGGCTCACAGATACAAACTCATGGTGGAGAGAGGTGGTTCGGGTGGAGGGGTCAGCCCTTCCTCTGAAGAGAACCTTCTCTTGACCTCTCTGACTTTCTGTGCTGTGTTTGACCAAGAGATGGGGTTTTCTCTCCATTTTCTGAGCAAAGCAGCAAAGCCAGCTTCCCCTGGCTTCCTCTCTCTTTSTAAACTCAAGAGCTCATCAAGGTGCATCTTTAACTTTCTGCCATTTTCCGGGGCTTAGGAGGAGAGCCTTGAATCACACAAGTGAGCCTTAGTCAGGAAGACGTCTGAGGTGGTTCATGCCAGACCAGCCAGCTGAGACTATTTGAAATATTAAACTTTAACCTTACAAGGGCAGGGCCCCTGCTGATCTCATTAAACATTATKATCTTAGTATCTGTATTATCTTGTGTTCAGTAAATACTTATTGAACAGGATGAATACATGAAAGAATGACTGAGTTAATCAATGTGGCCGAACAAGGCTAACTATGGGGCATTAATCCTAAAAGCATACCATCCAAGAGAATCATCTTGATCTTTGGGAATTACTTATAAAGCATTTTTTTTCCAGTTAAATTTGGGAAAAATAAAAAAGGGGAAAAAAAGTAAAAGAAATCTTTCCATTAAGTTATTACCATTTGATACTGTTTCTCACTGTCTCAGTCCTCGACTTCAATCTCTTTTTGTGATTCTGGGGATTGAACTCAGGGCGTGCTAGGCAAGTGCTCTACAACTGAGCTATATCCCCAGGCCTCCTTTTCTTATTTTATTTTGAGACAGGGTCTAAGTTGCCTAGTCTGGTCTGAAACTTGTAGTCCTCTTGTCTTTGCTTTGTAAGTWGCAGGGATTACAGGCGGCTCCACCATGGCCAGACCTAAATTACTTTTTAAATTTATTGCACATACTATTTTCTAACATGTTTCTCACATGAATGGGGTATTTCTGCGCTAAAATTTTTCTTTTCTTTTTTTATGCTTGCTACCTCATGTTCTCTGTGGTTTAGTTTGTCATTTAACTTGAAATGAAACAATGACTGGTTTACTTCTAAAATGATCCCAGTTACTCACCAAACACAGCTTGGGCCATTCCTGGGTGGGACCCGCCATGGACTTTACAACTAGAGTTCTTGGTTTCAAGTGTTAGGTCAAGTGAGGGGGCATGGAGGATAATAGTTGTCAGGCAAGGCTTATTTGCTGTGACAGTTTTGAACTGAGACCTGACTGTTAAGCTGAAGTTGGAATAAAACAAACTTCCCAATGAAGAACACGTAAGGCAGTCGTTTTCAGCCACTGAGTCTACTTAAAATTTTTTTTTTTTCTATGACTCTATAATGTTTATAAATTTTTAAAGATGGCCAAGTTTAAGGATCAGAGTTCATTTTTAGACTTCTTATGTGGCACTCATTAAACTGTTTTTTCATTGAGGTAAGAAATAACAATAGTATCTGACCAAATCCTGTTTTATCTCTGGGTGTTTAGTGACGGGAGTTAGGAAATGTGATTTTCTTAGTTGCAAGAGCCTGATGGGCCAAGAACCACAAAGGGCTGTGTGATTTTCCTTTATTTCAAAATGCTAGGCCAAAGCTAATGATGTCATTTTAGCAATTTTATATTTTCGAATAGATCTTTGATAATTAGAGTCCCAGAGTCTTAATCTTCAAAACTGTCTCCGTAGTTAATAATAACCAGAGATCGAGAACAATGGAGCCTAGAGAGCACCAGTGTTTGAGTGGCATTTTTCTGCTCTTTGTCACAGTTTAAAAACAGTGTTGATGTGTGTGTTTCAAGTTGTGAGTTCCAAGATTTTTGTTTGTTTTTTTAATTATTCAGACTTTTTTTTTTTTTTKGATTTTTTTTCCCCTCTCAACTGAACTGGGGATTTTGTCTTTTGTTTTTGGTTTTTGAGAACACTGACCTACATAAATATAAATGAGGGTTACTATCGGCAAGTTAAAACTGGGCCCCTAGGAGAAGAGGGGTAGAAAAGAAAGCTAGAAAATGTTTAATCTGTTAATAATAGAAAGATTGTCTGCTTTGGGGGGCAGGGAGTCTCCACATATGTCACATAGGTCAGAGGGTGACCTGTAGCATCCACACAGTACTCTCTGTCTCTCTCTCTCTCTACACACTCTCTCTCTCTCTCTCTCTCACACACACACACACACACACACACACACACACACACACACACACACACACACACACACACACACACACACACACACACACACACACACACACACACACAATTTTTTTCCTTGAGTTATTCTAAGGAATAGGAAACTTCTTGGGCAGTTTCTTTTTTCTTACTCTCTTCAAGGGTGATAATTTTACATCTGTTTTCCTTGTGGTAGATTTTGTTTTTCAAATTTGGGGATGGAGAAATTGTGATTTTCTGAGGTTTCCCTTTCTATGAATGGGCCTAGGATGGTGCCTCACCATGGGTATCCTGAGATATCAAGGAATATTCTAATGTGCAGGGAAGAGAATTGGCCACGAATCTGATAGCTGGTTTCTGGGCCACCTGTGGGGTTTGGGGGGAAAATCATTTCACCTTCAGGAACCTCTTCCTCTGTAGTATGCACCTGAAAGTGTCTGCCCCACTRCATTGCCGTGGGAGGACAGATAGGGCAGGGGATCCTATGGCTTTGAAAACTGTAAACATTGCTCCGAAAACTTTATGGTGCCCCTGGGAGTCTTGGTAAATGCAGAATCTGATAAGTGGGTCTGGGACGGGGCCCAAGACGCTGCATCTCTCCGGCGTTCCCAGGTGATGCTGCAGCTTGGTTCTTGCACCACAGTTCAGTCCAAAGCTTTATGTTGTCGGGTGGGATRTTGTCATCATGAGGAGAGAAGCTGCCCACCCCAGCGCAATGTGCCACCACGCAGGGCCTGGGGTGTCCGGAGCCTCCTGAGTTACCCAGACATATCCCGGGTGCCTGTGCATGCTGTGAGTGAGGCGGGCAGGCTGGGGAAGCACCTCACAGTCTGCACAGATCTCTCATAGGTTCCATGTAGTGTGAACACTGAAGTAGGAAAGAAAGGGCTCAGGGGAACGACTGGTGGGATGATTGAGGATGTAGAAGATTCCACAGACAGAATTTTGTTTGGTCCAACCATTTACCTGCAGCTCAGCACCTGTGTGCTTTCTGTCCCCACCAATTCTCTYCTATGGCAGACATAGGTCACCTCCTCACCCTGGCCTCTTCTGACCTTAGTGTCATGCCACTGTATCTTTGGTTAGAAAAGTTCAATGTGGGGCATTTATTTGTCTAATTTTAAATAACTTTAATTTAAGGTACTGTTCTTTTTTCTTATTTTAGAAACTTTTTTTTTTTAGTTTTTGAAATGTCAAAAGAATTGATATGTGTGTATTTACAAGCCATATCTGCTTATTATGTTTATTGTTTATCATCTTTTTCCTGGTTGTTATGAGGTTTTTGTTTGGTTTATTGCTATACTCTAAGTATGGTGTGCATTAGAGGTTCAATAAGTATTTATTSAATATTGAATGACTTGATTACAGATATCTGCTTATTTTCTCTTCACCTCTAGATGTTTATTCTTTTCAAGAAGAGGAACCTGTTTTGGATCCTCATTTGGCCAAGCACCTAGCGCATTTTGGAATCGATATGCTTCACATGCATGGGGTGAGAAGGTCTACTTTGGTCTCTAATCCCACCTTGTGGGGTGATATAGGGATGTGGGGTGGGAGAGGGAGCCGCTTAGTTTACTTAATATACCATTCCTCTAACATGGGTCTTCGTTTTTATAAATTATATGTTTTAATTGTTACATTTACTTCTTTTTTAAAAAAAATATTTATTTTTAAAATACACGACAACAGTGGAATGCATTACAATCCTTATTACACATATATAGCACAATTTTTCGTATCTCTGTATATTGACTTCTTGAATTTAAGTAATTTGCATATTTTTTTGGYTACCAGCTTAAATGTTTTATGTTGTAATAAAAATGGCATCTGATCAAGTACCATATTGTTTYCGTTAGAGTTTACTTGCACAATTTCTGTCTCCTTTTGATGGATAGTTTCATGAATCACGCTTTTGTTCACCGAAGGGAGAAAGTACAGGGAGATGACCTTTAAAATTATCTGTGACCAACATCATTTTTAATTAATTTCAGGAAGGGAAGCAGAACTCCTGGGGTGGTGGAAAGAATAAGCCAACCCATTATTGTTGATGGAAAGGCTTTGCTTCATTTATTAATGTGTGCTGGAGTTGACGTCACGACCGTAGTTTTTTTTTTTTTCTTTTTCTTTTTGAGAAGCTATTTAAGGTGCACGTTTTGTTTTAGCCCTTTCCTCCCAGGCCACCTCCCTCTCTTCCTGTTCTTACTCTGTCTCCACTTTCTCAGGCATACCTGCCTTCTC